CCACCTCGTTTGTCCAATCATTAGCGATGATACGACCAGAGACGTCGCTCAGTCGTGTGGATAGATCCCTTGACTGCCATGACCACCAAAGCCGGTCCAGGTTGGTATGATGAAGATAGAAAAGAGGATCTCCGGCTTGAAAGCTTGTCAGCAACACTTCGCAGACATGGCAGCAATAAGAAGGTGGACTTACGACTGGAGTAGGTGTCAGTCAATGTTCCGTATAAACCACCGACGCCCGGATGTCCGGCACCATGAACGCTGATCTCGGCTTGACGGGACAACTGTCCAAAATCAGGCAAGAGCATTAACCGAGAAATCACGGTCGAGTGCGCCGATTCGTTGAAGAATTGCGGCATGAAGTCCCGTCTGACACACCACTCGTAGTACGTCGTGCTGGCTCCCGGCCCCATGTGAATCGTCATGTTCGCGAAAGGCCCGTTTGGGATGCAGCCACCGCCTGTCCGACCATCAAACGAAACAGGTACACCATCTGCAGTGACGGGAACTCCTTCTTCGGGGTCTTCCAAGGTGCCTGGAACCCAAACGCCATTTCCTCCAAATCCGGACTCTGGGTCGAATACTTCCGAGGCCCCAAGATCTTCAGCGTCAAGAGACCAGTCCCAATATGGCTGGGCGCCTTCGAAACCACATTCTCGTATCGCTTGTTCATAGTCGGACAGAAAGAGTCGATGCCAAGGAAGAAATGTGCCCTGAGCTTGGTTAGCGCTCGCTATTACATGACTTGGGTACTTACGGTGAAGTGCTGCGTCACGGTTTGAAGTATGTGGTCTCCCACAAAGTCCTCAAATCGGTTCGTTGCGCCCGGAAGGGTGTCTTTGGACGAAGTCGGTTCCTTGGCTTGCAAACATTTCACGGCTGCGATGTAGTTCGAACGTTCCTCAATCGATAGTGAACGCCTATTGGTTGACATCGTCAGTGAACAAGCACTCAAACTTAGGTTCTGCCCGACATACCATTCTTTGCGCACGAGTGGTTCTGCACATTGGAGAGATAGGACTAAAGCACCAAAGAGTGCGTACAGCTCAAGACATGCCAGGAATCCCATAGTGTATGGTGTTTGTTGCGGATTGAATTGATGAGCTGCCTGTTGCAATGTTAAGATCTTCCCATTGAGCAGTGCGCAAACTGGAGTCTTTTATATTCTATGATCTGAACGAAGGGAACCCAGCTAGACTGAGATGAGGTAGCGCTTAAGTCCCCAATAGTCCGGCGAATCTTCCCGTTGAACTCGGCCAAGTCGCTTGTTGACTGTCAAAGGCATCTTTTCTGCTCGACGGGGAAACACCCCCTTGTATCATTCTATCGGGCCGTTTGTAGTTTCCGGTGGCCGACGTGATGTCGCGCCAATGTTCAGCGTGGACAGAGCGTCTGATATGTCACATGTAGTCAAATCGTCGGACGTCTGGGTCAAATGTGGCTAGACTTTGCGGACGACATTGAAAGAAGGCTTGAGCAATTGCGATGTGTGGCTAACATCCCCAATATTGCAATATGCAGCTACTTGGCGCTCAGGTGAGCCGCCATCGTGATGTGGGCCAATGGACCCTAGCTTCAGTAAGCGAACTGCCATGTGGTGATGATTGCTTTCAGCTGTTTTACTGCACCGCCGGACTGACTCATGATGGTTTCTCAAAGGTGGGCAGCAAGACGGCGCTCGCTTATCTGCAGAGGGAAGAAGTAGTTACACGACGAACGCTTGGAACATCTCAATGAGTCTCCGGGGATGGCTATCGATTTGGGAGCTTCCAGCGCTGGAGAGGAGTTGGGAGAAGTCATATTATCTAAGCCAACGTATTATAAGAGAATCGTGGTGGCTGCTTGGCACTTAGTCCCGGAACTGACTTCTTGCTCAAGTCTCATCAACCGGGTGGCAGTAGATGTGTTGCTCACCACCATTCACAACCCCAGATAATTTTGAGAGACAAGGAGCAGCACGTCTATTCAACTCGCCAGACTGGGGGAGATCTTAGCACAACTCAATGCCGTTAGGGAATACCAAATGGAGCGATCCTGTCTGACCCCAATTGTGTCGGTATTGGGGAACTTCATCAACGGGCGTCCGGACTCCGAACGCCCCTCCTGGTCTCGGGCCAGTAATTTTTAGATGGCGCCGAGTGTAACAGACAACAGCCTGACCCATCTTCTACCTTTTGAGCTCTGCCACATTCAATATGTGGAGGCTTGCGCCACACTGTAAAAATTCTGTTTACATTTTGATAGATGCCTATCAAGCATCGTGATGCTGTTTATGATAACCAGGAAAGCACAGCCTGGTCCATCATCAATAGAGGCTAGCTCAACTTCTTGGTTTGAATGTTTTCTACATGACCGAAAGTTATACTGCCAAGGCCTCATCAAGTCCGACAGTGCCTTGAAGACATGCTAAGAGCCAGTAATAACATTTTATACCTAGTCTCGGATATTGCGTGATGACAAAATCGGTGTTTTGGGAGTGGCAGATGGCCCTTTGGAACGAGATTCGGCATCCCCACGCCCACCACTTCCCCGAGGAAAAAAAAAGGGGGCAGAGGGAGAGGGAGAGCGCGACGTTCATCTTTCACCGCCCTGCGATAGACGCTTACATGGTTATAGAGGGCGCTCTTACCGATTGGTTTCTCATGGAACGCAGTCTTCTTGAGCAGACTGAGAGTAGCCAGGGCATTAAGGCCTTGGCACAAATGGCGACGGCAGCCATGCCAGGAACCGTCCACAACGGAATTGCGTCCTAGATGCGTAATGTTGCTCCTTGACCAACCTCTGTATTCATCCCAGGCTACCTCGATGCGCTTTTCTCTCTACATGCCAGTTTGCAGAGACGTCGGTGTCCGTCACTGTTCGACGGCGTGATATCGTACACTTCGCAAATCTCGCGGCAGTCTACCGCAACCAAATGCATTCACAGCTAACTCCACCCCATCACAAGCACCAAGCACCTTACTCCTCGCCCTCGCCGTCATCCATCTCCTCATCATCATCATCGCCCTCATCATCGTCGTCGTCGTCGTCATCGTCGCTATCGGACCCAGACCCTTCGCTCTCCCCCTCGCTGCCAGGGTCGTAATCCTCTTCATCCTCATCATCGTCGTCTTGAAGATTCTGTTCCGCCTCCAGGTGCGCCTTCGCCAGCTCAGACAGGCCCGTCCCAGCGTCCCCATTCGCCTCTGCCTCCTCGCCCTTCTTCGCCTTCAGATTCTCCGTGAGTTCCATCTTGGCTTTCCTCTGCTCCGCCATGCTGCGGTCCTGCAGCCCGTGGCGCTTCACGTATGACTCATCGATGCCCGCGTAGTCCTCCTGGTCGAGCATGCCAAACTCAATCTCCTCCGTCGCGTCGCCCTCGCCAAACACCTCGACGACCATGTTGAACGTCCGCTGCAGCACATTGGTGTAGCTCACCGCCACGATACGGTCCGTGGGCAGGAACACCAGCGGCTTCTTGAACCCGTACAGGATGCCGTTCGGCAGGAAGAAGAGGTATCCGTCCTTGGACCCGCGGAAGGCCTTGACGTGCACGGCCTTCTCGTTGGGCCGGTGCGGCTGGCGGACGAGGCTGTGGAACTTCGACGGGTCCGCGGCGACGATCTCGGCTTTGTTGCCTGCGGAGCTGAGATGTGTGGTCAGGGCCCAGTCGAAGAGGGTGCGATAGGTGTCCGAGACGGCGGCGGCGGCGTTGGCTTTCGGTCCTGCGATGGTGCCTTGCTTCGGGGGCGTTGAGGGGACGGTGAAGACGAGAGCCTCCTTCTCGGGCGCCGTTTTCGTCGGCAGGCAGGTTCCCCTTGGGAAGAGGACGTAGTTGTGTTGTACCTGAGTCTTTTCGGGCACGGGGAGGTAGAAGGCGTATTCTGTGCAGTTGGTTAGCTTTAGCTCGCGGTGCCTATCTCTCCTGGTAGCAGAGGGACATACCGATGTCCTCCCAGGCGTAGACGATGCCCTCCACGGGCGCAGTGGTGCCTGGAGCGCGCGCGTAGAGATAGTTTGCGGTGAAGCAGAGCTCGTATTTCTTGCGCTGGGGTACTGAGACCGAAATCTCCTTGATCTCAAGGAGAACATCTTCGTCTGCGGCGTTGCCTGGGCTGGATGCAGCCTTGGGCGCGCTTGCTGCAGTTTTGCCGTTCGCATTTGTGGACTTAAAGCCATTTGCCGGGCCCTCGTCTACCCGCCTGCGCTTCGAGGCGGGCTCTGGTCCGTGAATTTGCTCGTGTACGAAGCTGGCGATGTTATTGAAGAGTGCTACTCGGTCGGGGGTATCTGGTAGCAGCGACGGTCAATTCCAGTGCCTCAGAAGCCAGAATATGGGCAATTGGGGCCGCCAAACGTACCAGCTGCCTTTGCAATCCCTTTCAGAATATCTGGCCGGGAGTGGAAGACGGCTCCCAGCCGTTGGCTGTCAAGGCCGGACATGGTGTGGGAATGTTTCGGTGTTTTCCGTCCAGGGTGCGTGCCGGGAATTAGCCTGACGATTTAGAGGGAACTTCTGGTGAGTGGGCGATGGTGGGAAATTCGGTGGTGTTTCTGCTGGGCGGGTTTGATGGTGTTTTTTTTGACGCGACGTCGATCTGAATTTTTGGGTTGTGACGTGTTGTAGTCGCTGCATGGGCGGCGCACTACCTTACACTGAGCTGTGCTACAAACTGCCTGCCGCTGGCGGGTTTAACTCGGTTAAAGTGCCTCTCCAGCTTGGCTCATCTGGCGCCCCTTTTTTATCTCCAAGCTGCAGGCTCATTTGGTACTGAATCATTACGTCAAACATCCAATGGGACGGACATGGACATTGATCATCGATACTTGGAAAATGTCTAAGGTTTATCTATCGACACATGTACATCTTTCCCAACTTTTCATCCCAAGTTTATAGTTCTTGATTCCCGTCTGCTTTTTGTCGCAGCCAATTCCCACACGTCCGTCCTACTTCGTACTCGCTGCCATTCAACCTAGGACGCCCTAAATCATTTTCGATGGTAAAAAAACACACTGCTTATCTACTGCAGAGAGGCACGGAGAACAGCAATCTGTTCGAGGACGCTGGACCTGCTGGTTCCGCCCTTGGAAGCCCTCATCTCGACGCTCTTCTCGTAGTTGAAGGTCTCTGCAATGTCCTCCTCGAAACGGGCGTCGACGCCCTTGAGCTGCTCGAAGGAGAGCTCATTCATCGGGATGCCCGTCTTCTCCGACAGGGCAACGCAGCGGCCGGAAATGTGGTGGGTCTCGCGGAAGGGGACGCCCTTACGGACAAGGTAGTCGGCCAGATCGGTGGCGAGCATGAAGGGGTCAAGAGCCGCCTTCATCTTCTCGGGTTGGGTATCGAGGGTGGAGAGGACGCCCTCGGCGATCTGAATGCTGTCGCTGACGGTCTTGATATGACCAAGCATGGGCTCCCAGGACTCCTGGAGGTCCTTGTTGTAGGTGCTGGGGAGACCCTTCTGGGTCATCATGAGGCCGGCCATCTGGCCAAAGACACGGCCACTCTTACCGCGCAATAGTTCTAAACTGTCCGGGTTCTTCTTCTGCGGCATGAGGGAACTACCCGTTGAGTAGGCGTCGGCGAGGCGAACGAAGCCAAACTCGCCAGAGGAGTAAATAATCAGATCTTCAGACCAGCGAGAGATGTGCTGCATCAAAATGGAGCCCCATGTAAGGGACTCAGTGACGAAGTCACGGTCGGCAACACCGGCCATGGAGTTCCACAGCAGGCGCTCGAAGCCGAGCTCCTTGGAGATAGCCTCACGGTCGATGTTGAAGGGGTTGCCAGCCAGCGCGCCGCAGCCCAACGGGTTCCTGTTCACACGCTTAATGATCTCGCGGAGGCGCTCGAGGTCGTCAGCAAAAGCCACGGCGTAGGAAAGCATCCAGTGGCTCCAGCGGACGGGCTGGGCACGCTGCAGGTGGGTGTAACCGGGCATGATGTAGTCGATCTCCTTCTCTGCTCGGTTGGCGGTGACCGTCAAGAAGCTGATAAGGTGCCCCTCGAGCTTGCGGAGCTCGTCGCGGAGCCACAAGCGCATGTCGCAGACGACCTGCTCGTTACGGCTTCGGCCGGTGTGAAGCTTTCCGGCAATGTCCTTGCCAATGATCTCGCCAAGCCTGCGCTCGTTGGCAGTGTGAATGTCTTTTCAGCGTCAGTATCTTGATTGGCTTTCTTGTAGTAGCGGCAGCATGCATACCCTCATCACCCTGGACGATCTTGAAGTTGTCAGCCTCCCATTCCTTCTCGACTTCCAGCAGGCCCCTCTCGATCTCCTCGAACTCGTGTTGAGTAAGAATGCCGTTGTTGAAGTTTGCGCGAGCGAAGGCAATGCTTCCGTAGATATCCTGCTTGTGAAGGTGCTTGTCGAAATGAATACTCTCGTTATACTGCTCCATGAGGGGGTCGAGACCGCCTGTGTGTCGTCAGTTTCATGTTGGTATCGAGCAGTTGCCAATGCGATGAGGGGTGAATGCCCTCGTTGACAGCCAGTGGAGGGGCAGCAGCGATAACGAACCAGTAAATCGACCTCCCCACAGCTTGTTCTCAGCCGGTTTTGAGCCTGAAGCCATCGTGACGGTTTTGTGGAGGGGTATTCGGTCGTGGGGGATCCAATTGGTATTGGTCAAGAGTATGAGCAACTGGCAGCAACTTGCGGAAGAGAAATTCAAAGCCAGTGACTCAATTGACTTTTCGATCAAGTGCAGTCTTTCAATTATCCAGAGAGGGGGAGGGGGAGAGTGTGCAAGGTTCTTGAGTCATCTGTACCCGCAAAATTTTAATTATCGGAGCTGTTGTCGGAGACGCAGAAGCTCAGCCTTGTCTTATCTTTGGCCTTATCGCGAGCTAAGGGGAGCTTTGACCATCCGAAGGGTTCAGTTTCCCCCTGAAAGCCCGACGTCACAGTGGAGGATGCGCCAGCCGAAGCCCCTACAGCCGGTGCTGATTTGACAGCAGCAGCCACCCCGCGGCTCCTTCCTTGCCCCCACCGGCACAAGAACCTCACCTCCTGCCATCGTCACCTCCGACATTACCTCTTCACCTTCACCTCTACCTTCTCGACGCGACCATTGCGCGTCAGCCACTCTTCGGTTGAACACACTCAGCCGCACGTCTGGACACAGTGCGATATCTCTCAGCGCTCATCCACGCCTCACACAACCGATTCCCCAGCCGCACTCGCAGCGCCCGAAGCTGTTTGCCGCCATCATGTCGTTTGCTAACGTCTACACCCACCGAAAGGTAGCTGAGAACGCCGCCAAGGGATGCGACGTCTGCTATCGAGCTACGAGTAGCGTTCTTGTTGCCGACGAGAAGAAGGTAGGCGATACGCTTGCTGCGATGCCCAACGCTGATCACATCTGACTCTGTCTCAGGACTTCTTCTACGTCTGCCCGAGCCATTTGAAGGACAAGAACTTCTGCTCCCCGATCATTGACAAAGAGGCGGTTGAAGCAAAGAAGAAGAAGGAGATGGAAGAAGAAATCGAGCGGGTTAAGAAAGAGTACGAAGAGAAGCAGAAAAAGAAGAAAGAGAAGGACGAGAAGGACAAGAATGCGGACAAGGACAAAGACAAGGAGAAGGAGAAAGAGAAAGACAAAGATGAGAAGAAGGCTGACGACGAGAAGAAGGATGACGACGGCAAGGCTGCTGAAAAGGTAAAAGTCTTAGCCTTGCCATCTGTATCGGACTAGACTCCGGGGCATCGTACATGGCTCCCTAAGCTTTGGCTAACAGTTGTCCAGGACGGTGCCGGCACAGAAACTCCATCCACGGAGGAAGAGCCCCGAGTATTCGCGCTCCACAAGTAGATGATCTCTTGGTCCTGCATATGCCGATGCGACGCTAACCATCTGCCGTCAGGAACTTCTATGGAATGAGGCTCGAAAAAAAGCGCCAGATGGAGATTGCCAAGAGGAACCGGGAGCGTCTCCAACAGCCGAACTTCTTCCCCTCGGTCCCCAAAGGCGCCCCAGGTAGCTGAAAGGCTCCTTCACATTGCATCAAGTCTGTCGGCTTGTACGCTCCACAATAAGCGTCTCGCGATGTCACATCAACCAATGTCAGCCTGCCGGGTCATCGACTTCAACCGCCGCATCCCAGTTCCCAGCAACTTGTCATGGCTGCTGCGATCCACCTCCCTCACATCATATGCTCTTGATGTCTGTATCACACCTGCGCCAAGCCATGTGCAGGGAATTTGCATCCTAATCAGGCCGGCTGCATCGTGTGCCTCCAACTTGAACCGCGCCGGCTATCATCCGTCTGCTCGAGCAACGCTTTGACCTCGGGTTCGACAACCGTGGGATCCGCTGTCCGAAGGAGCCCCTTTGGTTGGCTCAGTTACGAGTGTCTACGGTGTGCTGGTTTCCTACTGGCATTGCTTCCATGCAGCGTAAGACGACCTGCAGTAGCCCTAATGGGCTGTTCAAGCGGCGCGGGAGCACGAGCTGCCGTTCAAGGTGCAGTTCCGTTATCATCCCTGCGAAGATCATTGGGGGGTGTGGCCATGGCATTCGGGCAACTTGCAAGTCTCTGGCGGGAAATTCTTCGACAGACCCAGGACTCGATCTCATGCAGATAATTGTGACATTCACAGAATTCGAAGCAATACCCCGGATACCTGCTGTCAACGGCGGCACGCACTAATGAGGGGTTTTTCAACCTCCGTTGCAAAGATTACTTTGTCCCGTTGCCGCCTCGCATCCAGTCTTGGAAGCATCTTTCCATAAGTCTCCCTGCATCACCTCATTTCCTCTTTTCGGAGTGCTTCCCTGGCGTTTACGGACCGAGTACGTCCAAGATTCAGGACTACACCACGGCCCGAGTTGTCTATCAATATCCGCCCTCTGCTGTATAACTCCGACGGAGTGGCCTGTCGAGGCTTTGGACTCGGTTATTGACGCCTCCTGGCCGTTCTGTACGCCTTATTTGACTCATCCATCAAGCACGACATTGGAACACAAGATCCACAACTGTTAGATTAGCAGGGAATTGGAGAAGCCTGTCCCTCCATCTGTGCCTCCCAACGATCTTCAGCCGTCGTGCTTCATGTCACCCAAGTCCCGCGTCGGGCCTAGTGCTGACAATGCTTACGCTGCCGGGCAACATCTGCATGTGCCCCTGTCCCACAAATCAGAAACAGTTTCGACTCGCGGAGTGTACTACATTGAGAGATTGCCAAGAGCGAACCACGGAAGAACATCATGAAGCGGGGTGCTCGCACTCTGAAAGTCCCCCAGCAACTTACATGAGGCCGTCACGTTTTGCGTGAGGTATGCAGCGGATGCCACCCTGTCTCCTGCCACCTCACGCGGATATGACCTGAGCGGCATCGTCGGCTTTTAGATCACCTGAAAAGGTCCTATCACCGGCCCGCACCAAGGTCCCCTGGAGCCAACCGGAGGGTTCACGCACGCAGCCAAGCTGAGTCGTTTTCAGCGAGACGATGATGTTGGAGCCACGCAGAGTGAATATTGCCAGGTCGGTTTCAAGTGGCCCCTGGGACTTCGGTAAACGCACTCACATCACAGGGTTGCGACAGGGCCAACGTGCTGCGACCGTCACCCAGAGAAGCTTAGGGCTGACACCAGCTACTGGATCCGCGTGCTACCTTGCGTTAATCGGATGGCGATCAATCGACACGCCTCAAGAATCACGGCACCAGAACAATCCATTATTAGCAGCCGGTCTGGAACCTGTGGCGTGCGTCCGTATCGGGTCCTTCATTGCAGAGACTCAGGTTGGTGACAACATCGTTCCACAGTTGCTAGAGCATCACACTTGAGGCACAACAGAGCTCTTATCAGTACAAGACCAGCTTCAACTTGCAGTTTGACGCAAATTATCAGCCTTCCTAGGCGTGATTGAGGATAAACACTACGCTAGAAAGTCCACTGGATCTGCACCCAGCTTGATTACCAGCCGTGCCACCCGTCCAACCGATTAATTCAACAACGATAAGAAAGCGAATACGACTATCTCATTGCATCTTCGACCCAGTCCCTTGCCAGTAAGACTGTGAGGGCTCACTTGTCAGACAAGGTCTTTGGGCATCAGATGACTCATGTTGGGGCAAGCCAAGGGTCTTTCTGACCCCACAGCACATCGCATGCCGTTTTCGAGGACAACTCCGTCAAGAATTTGACCGTCGCAGAGCCTCCATCGCGGCAAATACCGCATCTGGCATACCACTTGAGAATTTCCTTTCGACCAGGCCCTCCATTCGGACGAAACCCCATCAGGAACGATGTTGTGCCTTAGTTCTGGGCCCATTTACAGTGCTTCGGGCGGCCGCCGCAGAGCTGCGGCGCATGCTTACGCCCCAGCTACCCTAGTAATGGAGAAAAAGAAACTTCCGTCGGCAAAGAAGAGTGATTTTGGGGTTCTGCCTATTTCTAGGCTCTAGCCGCTAGCCGAGTTACAGTCTCTTTTCAGCAGCCCCTCCGGAACGGTGGCTGGCTGAGCCACGAGGCAACTAGGTGTGGTAAGGTTCAGCAGGCAATGCATATCAACGTCGTACCTGGAGGCATTTGGACAGCGGACACTACGTCGTTTCGCCTCACGCTAACCACCGTACTTTGGGCCTTTGGTATCACTACCATTATCACGTCAGAATTACGCGGTGCCACATTCGGCACGAGGCTCTCATCAGCGCGCCCGGCTTAAGGCTACCTGACAACAGTGTGAGAGCAGCTGCCTGTCTTCGATGTCAGCAATACCGCACTTCCTTGAAAGCGTTGACGGCCGAGACATGTGTCCCCAAAGAGACGAGATCACAATGGAGAACGTTGACGTTCCGACATTCAAGGCCAATAAGACATTGACAGCCTTACGGTTTGATGGTGGTCCAGATATGGTTTCGATTCGAGGATGGTGTTTGCTGTGGCTTGTGTCGCCACCTTGAGCGCCGGACTGTTGGATGGGTAAGCTTGGAAAGCTCAACAAGATGGCTCTCTTTACACTCCAATGGCATACTTGCTCTCGCATCCAGCACCGCCAAGTTTCCAACAGAGGTCTGCCACGGCGAAGCGAAGAGGTGATCGGGGCGCCACACGTATACATCTCATATGGTCCCCCTTCCGGTCTCCACTCTCTGCCCCAGACGACGATCATCGATCAAAGAGCAGAACTCGATTCCTCTTCTAGGGTCTTATTCATGATGGGTGGAGAACCGTGCCCGCCCACTCCCCTCCCCGTACCCAGAAGACCACTTGGAGGGGGGCCAAAATGCCAAAGTATCTTTTAAAAGAGGTACTTGTCCAGCTCCTGGTGGAAGTACCCAAAGCAAACGGGGGTAAATGAGGGGGTTGTCAGCATCTTAGCGACATTTCTGCCTCACGCCACTGGGGTATTGTCAACTTTGGCGAGTTCGCGCCGTGGGCGTGAGGGTATCGTCATGGCGGCATGGGATGGGGGAGGGGGCGTGGCATGCGCGTGGCTTGACGTAGCTCAATCTCACCGATCTTCTTGGACTGCCGCTGCATATTGAAAAATTCTTCTTCTTATCCCGCCCTCCACCCTTGCCTGCCGGGCCACGTTCGCACATCCCCCAACAGCTTGAAGATGACTAGGGGTTGTTAGACTTCCAAGGCACATCCGCAGAATCGTGGGTAAATCGACGCGATGGAGCCCTTTCAACTCCCGGTTCGAACAAGGGAACTCCTCGCTTGGGCCTCTCCACGGCGCTCTTTCATCCGAACTGCTCTCGGCGTCACTGCCAGGGCTGAGTAGTTTCCTGATCTGCCCTGCTTATGAAGGCATCCGTTGATGGCACGGCGCTCGGTGGCACGGACCCGTCTTTATGCTGAGAAGCGTGATGACAGCTCCTGCGGCGCGGAGGTTTTACAATGCCGTCTGTTGTTTTTTTCCCCTCTTTTTCTCCGAGCAACAGACGATCTTGAGAATTGACTGAGCTCAAAATCATGCAAACATGAAGACGAAAAGGGTCCTTCTCCTCGGCATGGAGCAGACGTCATTGCGCCGTCAATGCTTCGTGATGCCGTGTATGAGTCAGGCCTTCCCGGTTTTCTGTTTCCTTGATGTGAGGTGCTGACGGAGCGGAGTGAAGTGCCGGGGGCGCACGCGCGCGGGGGTGGGAAGACGGAGATTGGGTGCCTCGGACCTTGGCGGGGGGTCTTTAGGAAGCCGGGACGCAAGGCGGTCCCCAGCTTGGGGAGCAGGGCTGGCTGAGGCGGACTCTTTTTATCAGATGCTTACTGAGCCGCTTGTGTTTGGTTCCGTCTGTGGGGGTGCTGAGGGCTGGTGAGAATGTCGGTGTAAGCAGACCAGCGGTGATCATGTTTTTGGCAAAGGATGAAACAAGGCATTTTTGGGGGCAAGGCTTATGGGGGCTGGGGTTTCCTGTCAGATTTGAGTGTCAGCACCACTCAAGCATTTGAGGTTGGATCCAGAGGAGCCAGTGTGATTGTTTGGCGTCAGATATGAGTTCGTTCCTTGGTCTGTTTCAGTCCATGAGGGGGGTTTACGCGGTCTAATGCTGGGCAGATCTGTTGTTTCCCACTTCTGAAACTATCAGGATCTTGGAAGGAGGGGGCTGTCAACCTTGCGTTTTGCAGCATGCGTACCAAGATTTGACGGGAGTTGTGGTAATCTGACGTGAGAAGTTTGTTTTGGTGTTCTCCGGCGCGCGGGCTGGGCGGCGGCGTCGCATGTGAGTTATTTGTGGACGGATCAGCAGACTTCCTCATTTCACTCGATTTGCGCATTTTGCGACTTGCGTGCTGTGATTGTGATAAGGGATGGTGATGTGGCTTTGTGCTGATGACTTCGGGGGAGGTTCTGATTTGCTGGTGGTTGAGGATGTCGGCGATTACGTGGGGATGTGGTGATCCCGCGCCTAGTGCGGTTGCGATTATGCCGGTAGTCGGTTGCCTGGTGACGAGGATGTTATTGATGCCGGGGTGTTTGATCACACACTTGTAGCAGTTGGATCTCGCAGTCCCTGGTCTGGCGGTCTGATCTGATGATACACCTTGAGCGTATGAGGAACTTTGAGATTTTGAGGTTGAGAGGTGTCCACCAATCATTCTCTTTATTCATATGAACGTTCACTTTGCGCAGCTGGTGGTATATCTGGGAAGAGACTTCAGGGGTTCTTTTTAGTTAAGCCTGGGGGTTGTTGTTTTGATGTTCTTCAAACTTGAGGTATCATACAATGGGCTACAATCCTTCGAGTTAGAGTAAGCGTGCCTTTTTTGAAAGGACCGTATACATTAGAGGGAATCGCATCATGAGTTCAAAGACTTGTTCAGCTTCAGAGCTTTGAGTCGTAGTACTTGAGTCTCAACTTATTCTAACACCAGCCCTTGAATCTACTAGGTAGTCTCTCTATTCGTCTGATTACACAAGTCTAATAACTTCCGCTCGTCTCTAAGTATACCATACACTGACCAGTCCCATGTCATTTCCCCATGTATCCCGATTTATCTATGCAACACGTACAACGCCTTCAAAAAAATGTCTATATCACTTCACGCCAATCGCTCCGACCGCACGCTCTTGCCACTTCCATAGCCAGGTTGAGTTGATCTCGTTGTCCTTCGTTCAACCTGACCCGATAACGATTCAAGTCTTGCTCCCGGATTATCGCCCCGTGGGTGCACAACAGAATCGCAACCTTCAGCTTGTCCGTCGTAATAGTAGCCGTTTCCAAGCATAGATCCAACGCCGAGAATCCCCGCATGTTCCTGGCATTCACATATGCCCCCATACTGATGAGCCTCTCAAGGATCTTCTCATCCTTTTGTCCAGGTGACCGGAAGCGCGATAGAAGGTGATGATGCAGCGCTGTGTTGCCAGTAGCATCCGCCACGTTTGGATCAATCTTGTGCTCTGCAGCGAGATACTCCATCACTTCAAGGTTGTCAGATGCCGCAGCTTGGTGAAGCGCATGAAGACCCGTCCCTTGATGCGTGACAAGCGACGAACCAGCCTCGATCAACGCTCTCGCCATGAATGTCGTCTTTCCTTTCGCCCTCATCCCGCTCGTTCCAAGCAGGAAGTACAACGGGTTCGCCCCGCCGGTGCTCAACTCCGGCCGGATGTCGAAATTTGTCTGGAGCGACTCGCACGGAAAGCTCGCGTTGTACTCGTCGCAGAAGTCCTCCACATACCTCAACGACCCGTAGTTCCCGGCATCGAGCACAGGCTGCACTGTCGCCCTCTTGTTCGCATCCGCCCCGCCGGCCAGCAGCTGCGCCAGAATCTCCTCCCTGCCGCACATCGCCGCCCAATGCAGCGCACCCATGTCGAGCCTCCGCGGCTCCCGCCACCACACCTGGTACTCGCACTTCTCGCAGTACCGGAAGCACTCGTTCGTCCACTGCAGGGGCATGGTGTGGTCGTCCTCGTCGACGTCTGCCCCGTTCTCTAGAGCCAGCCTCACAGCGCGCGCGTTGCCGCGCTTGGTGGCGATCAGCAGCGCGGAGGCGTGGTTGTGCCGCGCATCTTTCCGGTACAGCACTGGCGTCACGAGATCGTAGAGCGATCGGCACGTTGCGGCGAGATTGGCGACGTCGCGCCAGACTTCGAAGCGCGGGAGCATGCAGAAGGGGCAAAAGGTCTCGGTCTCGTAGGGCAGACAGGAGGACTCCCAGTACTTTTCGTAGCCGAGGCCGACTTCCTTGGCGTGGAGGTCGAAGAGGGCGTCGACGATGCAGAGGATGATCTCCGAGGGCAGGCGGCGGGTGAGGCCGGGTGCGCCGGGTTTCGCGGGCGCGTGGTGGTACGGGAGACGGCGTTTGGCGGCGCCGTAGAGGGGGACGTGGCTCCAGATGCAGGGGCAGCCAAAGAGCGCCGGAACCTTTTCTGAAGATGTTGAAGACATATCTGGTGAGAGGTTAGTTATGATGAGGTCCTCATGAGGGATGCGGGTTGAGACTTGCTTGCGTGTGCCATGTCGGAGAACTTCCGAGATATCGCCGGACGGAGGATGAGAGAGAATATGAAATCAGCTATAACACAGCATCAAATATGATGGGAGTTTGCGTTTAAGGCTGAAGGTGCACTCTCTGAGGGGCCAAAGAGAAGAGTGTGGGGGAGAGGATAGATGAATGAGTGAACGAGCGAACGAACGGGGAAGTCCACCGTGGCCGGGACGAAATGCGATGATGCATTTCCGAGAGTCATTCGCGGGAAATTTTTTCGTCTCACCTTCTCCGACCCCTATTCATTTCCTCGTTGGAATCAGGGGTACGCCTGCGTGTCATTCAAAGTGTCGAGCCGTTAGGAACCGTGTCATTCAGATGTTGGGGTTGAAGGGGCATTCCTTGTTCAAAGCTTGGTTAAATGTTGCTTACTCAGTTTCTTCAACAACCGGATGAGGATTTCGGAGTGAACTCAAACTCCGAAACCATTGATCTGTAAACATCACGGCTGTGCCGGAACTTGGTGATTATTCTAACATTGCTTCAGAAGCGGCAATTCGTGATACGTCACAGCACTGTCCTAGCTAGTCGTTTGCATGTCGCAACAATGCTGACTACAAATTGGTTCATTCTACAAAATATATTAGACTCAGTCGTAACATATTCTAGAATAACATGGTTCATTGAGAGACAGTTGCGTTGACATGCGGTTTTGACGACGATCGGAACCGCTGTGCCGATCTAGCCAATGGAACTAACTCCATTCTAGGCACACGCTAACTAGGTCTTCAAATGGGCCAACATCGCGCCCTTGCGTTGACTTTGGTGTGAGTCACTCAAGCGAACTAATTATTTAGGGCCTGCGAAGAACAGCCCGCAAGTCAACTTCACGTTTATCAGGAAAAGAAGTTTCAATTCTGATCATTACTTTCCAGACTTTATTGGTAAACAAATCTCGCTGCTCCTGACCTGGCGTTGACTCTATCAAATCCAATCAACGCAATGGCCGACAATGAGGGAAATGCCATACGGACGCAGCTGCGCAATCTCAAAGTCCTTCAAGGATATCTCGAGAAGTGCGACTTCACCAAATTTCCCGCTTCGCCCCAAGAAGCCTTTAACCGCTGGCTTCAGGAGGCCGTAGAAGCTGGCGTCAAGGAGCCCCACGCAATGACCCTCTCCACGGTTGACGCGCAAGGGTGTCCGGATGCTCGAATCCTGATCCTCAAGAACGTGGACCATCGTGGCTGGCATTTCGCAATCAAAGCGGATAGCCCAAAAGGTCATCAACTGTCAAGCAACGGCCAAGCTGCTCTGACTTTCTACTGGCCCGATCAAGGTCGCCAGATACGCGTTCGCGGGAAGGCCTACTCGCTTCCTGTGGATGAGAGTCGGCGCGACTTTGCTGATCGGCCTTTCTCTTCGAAGGTGTCTGCGCTGGCTTCCAAACAGAGTCAGGTGCTCCGGGATGAGAATCAGCTCCTGCACGCTTTGGATGCGGCACGCCGGACGGTGGAAGAAGATCCTGGTCTTATTCTTCCGGGATGGACGGTGTACACTGTTGACCCGACTACTGTTGAGTTTTGGCAAGGTGCTCAGAGCCGCCTCCACCAAAGATTATCTTACAGCGTTGGGAAGGAGAGGGGTGCATGGGATAAGCATCTTCTTTGGCCCTGATGCAATTTAAACTGTCTGGTTACCTTTTTTTTAAAGCGCATACAACTTTTCTGCATTGACCTTTGAAGTATGTTAATGTTCCAAGTGCTCACTAAACAGAGTTCCAATCATATGTCTCACCAACAGAAGAGAGGTCTTTCTATTCATGTTTGCTGGCACTGATAACATACAGCCCATGTCAACAACGGATCAATCGATTGAAATTATTTTGCAGTGTATCGACGTACTTGCCCAGCCGTAACTAACAAGTTAAGTCTTGCAGAATAACAGAGGCAGAATTTATGCCTTTCTTGACTTGCCTCCACTCAGTTTTGCCGAGTTTGCGGCATTGGACGAAACGGCATTTTCAGTAATGTCCTGAACGTACTCCTTGAGTTCGTTGTCCTTTCTGACTCCGAAATCCAGGGGTTCAATGTTGTGCCGGGACGAAGACTTGGGTCATACTGACTGTTGACCAACGAGCTCAAAGTGTCTCTAAACAAAACTTTCAGAACACTAAAGTTGAGATTCCTGAATACGAGAACACTTGAATCCGAATTCAACGCATCTTCTTCTTGAAATGTTCCATCAGTGTGATAAGACCGTGTATGAGCTGAAAGCCCGAGTAATGGTGCAAGACCATACGCGCAGCTTGCCCAGGGATCTCCACAGCAAACAAGTACTCTTTCACCTTCGCTATGGGCAACGTCGCTTAGCTGTAGTATCATCCGTGCGAAGTCTTCCACAGATGGTAGGTTTCCTTGCGAGATGCCTCTGCTTGTCGTAATATGCCCCTCCCATGACATCTCTGGCAGATCAGGGACAGTCTCTCCACTTTCAGATAAAGTGACTGCAGGTCTCCACGAAGCCTGCCACCTGTTAAGGTTCAACTGTGGTACTTCTTTGAAGCCCACCAAGCAATGGAGTACGAAAGCTTCAATCTGAGGTTCGCTGGGAATTTGGGTTGGTGGGATTAGCAGAGTGTTGAGCAGTGTTGTGAATAGCCTTCGTATCCACACCGCTAAATGCTTCTGTGTGTCATTTTCGCCATATTGAAGACTCTTGGGTTTTCCGACGTCCCGAAGCAAAACGTTCAGTGTGAGAACGAGACCAAGTATGTTCTCTCCAGCCTCGGTGCCCAAGCACTCATCAAGAATGACTCGCACGGCAACTGCTCGTGTACCGCGAAAGTGGGAGATCTTGTGATTAGCGACCCATTTTCGAAGTCCAGCCCGAAACATTTCGTGCACGGGGAAAATGTGACCGACTCTTATGAGTGCCCTAATAGTGTCCATCTTCAGGCCTATAAGTGTTTCGTAGGCTCGGCCCATGATGGTTCCGTCAGCAAGGGAGTATTCTGCGCCTGGCTTAGGACCAAGAACCTCATGCCGTTGCACTCCTAGCCAGCCGAGGCCATGACTAAACCCTATGGGAGGTCCTACAGGAGGTCCTATAAGAGGGCCCAGAGGAGGTCTCATAGGAGCTTGAAAGTTTGATTCAGAACGTCTCATGGCCTTGAGAAGATCGAGTTCGAAGTCTGTAGACTGAGACCGTCTCGAAGAAGGCAACCCGTGGATCTGAGAGATACAGGTTTCTACTTCTGAAGGCAGCTCTACCTTAACAGCGTTCATTTGTGTCCGGATACTATCGAAAGTAGGTTTGATTTTCAGAGCGAAGGCGCACATCCTGTCCTCCTGTGTCGCAATGATAGTCCCGAGTAACTGATTGTTGACGATGACCCACGAGCCAGAAGAACCTAAAGCTTAGTCCAGATGTTAGAAATAACTTTATACTAGAAAAGAAACAGGAAACATACGTAATGGTTTATTCAAGTTAACTTCAAATACCATTCGGCATACTCCGCCCAGCAGCACAGCAGAGGTGCCGAAATCAGCAAGTGCGAGAAATAACCCAGAATAAGTGACTACCAAGCAGGGCACTCTTCTATTGGGGCCAAGGGTGCGGGCGAAGCTGAGAAATTCCCTTTCATCCATGATTTCGTCGATAATCCAACTGTCTGCTACCTCGTCTGAGTATGGCGACTGTATGGTAAGGCGATTGGCGACTGACCCAGGCCGGAATATATCGACGAGCGCCCAGTCGGAATTGTCGGAATCGTCGTCAACGTTGCTGAAAATGTCGCTGATAACGTCACTTTCAGAGGGATAGTTTTCTGAATGAATGACCCCGTGGAGATATCTAGGACTCTCGGAAGGCCTGAAATATTTCCCCAGTTCCTCCTGAGCCACTGAGGGAATCACTCTGTAATGCCCAATCGTCAAGCCGTATATTCTTCCATCAACAAGAACAGTCCCGCCAACTGTCATTTTCCATGCCCCGCCGCTTGGATATGACCCGTCTCGGATAGATACGATTGAGGCAAGCACAGTGTCGACTTCATCGTTCCCTAAGTTGGTGTCCAATTGATGAATATCCTGGCCTCCAGCAAGGTCGACTGCCGCAAAAGCTGGGGGGCCAAAGCTGAGGCTGTAGAGTACTTCGGAGACGTTTGGAAGCTCAGCTTCAAGGTAAGATCGTAACTGATGTGTGCTACATCGAATAACGAGTGTGGGCCGCCATCCTAGGGAATCTTTCTTCATCACAAGCTGTAACGCGCAAATAGCATCATCTCTCCCCTCGTACTCTGGACTGTCCTTCAAGTATCGGATGTCGTTGATCAGAGTTGGTATTATCCGATTGAACTCTTCTCGTGCGGAAGGTGGAACGCAGGGGCTCAGTTCGCTCTCAATAGTCTCAAACTCTGGCCCAAACCTCTTTTGTATTGCAACAGAGGGCGAACGCTTTCGGTTGGATCGCCATCGGCCACTCTTATGCCAATGCCAATCAAACATTTCGTCAATAGATGTAAACACAATCAATACCTAAGTGAAGCAAATTTTCTGGCAAAAGAGCCCGGATAGCTTGCGCCCCCACAATCAGCAAAGATAATCAAATATTTGTGCGGGAGGATGCGGGAGGACGAGAGCGACGTGATTCAGTTCTTTGCACATCTTCGAATGGGGTCCCAGGTGTTTGCGTAAGGCTCGGGGTTATATCGGATGTGACCATCTTTCGGACAGGCTGAACGGGGCAGTTCGCCGTTGGTGTGGTTGCACGAGGAACTCAACCGAGATGCTGTCATGCTTCGGCCGACCAGTGAAAATCCGGCCCGCCACGCTCACACGTATCCGCCAGGCTTCTATCGATGCGTCGGGCTTCTATCAATGAACCATGTTTTTTGATTACTTTGCATGAAGGCGTCAGATGACCTGTCCAGCTGACTGCCATAACGACCACTGCCATCTGTCGAAAAATGGCCGATCATTTTCGGTGAAGCAAATCTAGAGCTGAAAAGTGGAAAATTTCCCGGCCGTGGCAGAACAGTACGTCTCTTGTCAATATTCTCCACTGTTTCAAGCAAAGTGATGCTGCTGAGCCAGACTAATTATTTATACATTGTAAGTCACCATGGGCACTGAAATGATTTCCACCATGCAAAGAATGAATGCTGTCCAAATTTATTGGCGCGTTTGAAGAATTCGTTTCAATCAAATGGACACCGAGCACAAGAAGATTGTCCTGGACTGGTTTAATGTAAGGCAAACTCGTCGAGAGGAGGAGTCGCGTGAGCCGTATTTTGATTTTGTTCGACGGGATGTTATGACCGAAACCCAGACACGAGAGAGTCAACCCATGCTGAACTGCCTCCGTTTGGCATCGGAAGCGGTACATATGGCATTGGAAAAATCGCCTCATACGGGGAGCAGCTCCGGAGTCAAACTGAGAACGAAGGCCGAGATTCTCATGGCATTGAGGGCCAAACACGAAGAATCTCCGGAAGAAGAATTGGAAAGCGCGATATACCGTGCGGCCCGTTTGGCCTTCCGCATAAGCGCAATCAGCCAGAACCTCACCGAAGACACGTCACCAGATTGGTCCAATGATAAAACAGTAGCAGAATATGCTGGTATCGTCTTCAATGCGGGTCCTCTTCCATCGTCATCATCAACGTCGCCTGCCTCAGAACCGGATGCTTCCGAGGTTGCGGGCATTCAGTCGCGTCTTACACACAGGCTTACAACAGTGAACATTGAGAAGTACACCAATATCACCATCAAAGAGACGCAGTACTTGCTGTCTCACCTGAAATTAGTCGAAACGTTTGAATACACAACTCTCTACGTATTTCGGGACATGAGATGGCTCTTAGACGCCGTGGAGATGGAGTACGTATACTTATACTCAACTGCTCCCTTGGGCTTTCACGTTGACAGCCTAGACAGACATTTCCCTATTCCGCGAGAGATTCTTCAAGAAACCATCGATACACTCAACTACTTGTACCCTAGAGATGGAGCGACTAAAAAGCTGCTCAGACAACAAGGTATTAAGCTGCATGTCTTCCAGAAATCGATTCCAGATCGGCCTAGATTTAGAGACTTCAAATACTACAAGCCGCGTATGGTGGACGTCGCGTATGAGTTTTTGAATCCGCCGAGAAGATGGGGGACTGTCTGGAAGGATAGTAGGAACCCTGTGCAGTTTTGGACGTTCTGGCTGGGACTCTTGATCTTCCTCTTCACTCTCGCATTCGGCATTATGGCGACAGTCCTAGCTAGCTGGGTTGCAATTGCACGTTGCCATACACCCGCCCAAAGGAGACTGAATGAGACAGAGACTGCGACTGTCTTTTGCGCTCTGTGGGAGTTTGTTTGTCGAAAAGAACAGAGACTTAGAGAAGTGCAGTTAATGAGACGTCAACGGAGTTGAACCGGGGCGATACTGTCTTAGTTGCGGCATTGCGGCGTATAACCCTCCTGCTGGTATGAGCATGGTGGGAGGATTTCGATCAGCGGTAGGAAATAGCAATCGGCTAGAGACTTTCGCCCAACCGCGACTCAGACAAAACCCAAATATATTACATCCTCAACCCGTGTCTCCACCGTGAAGTTCCCTTTTTCCTCAATCAACTGAAGTAGAATGTCTCCCTTTCCACGACAACATTATCAAAGAAATTGACTCCGAATGAGACGAAAACTGTCGGATTCCTTAAACGAAGTATGTTTTACAACCAACTCATCGCAACGTGGGAGGACAATGTCGCATTTGAGCATCATCTACGTGCCCCGGCGGACTGCTGCTCCGTTCCCCACGAGTCAGGCAGCCTTACGGGGCTCAAGCCGAGTTCACCGCATGATGCCCGGCACCCAGCCCATTAACCGCCGGACTTCGCGGGGTGCCGATTCACCGTCAGGAACCCTGAAGTACCTGTCAGGTTTCTGCTCGTGTTCATATAACTTGCGTTCTTGGCCCGCTAGAGGAAAGGCTTGAGTTGACACCTCCCCTTTCCCTACCCAGCTATCTGATTTCCACACTCATTCAAAGATACCCCATCATGCGTTTGTCCACATTCCTCTCCGGCGGTCTGTTCGCCATCTGGTAAGAAGACTCTCCCCCAGTTCACTTTATTACCATGCCCACAAACAACACATCAACTGACTCTCCAAATAAAGCGCACTGGCCGAGACCTCGGGATACTGCTGCACCAGCAACGCCCAGCAACAAGTCGTTCCGCACAACGACCAGACGCAGGCCTGCTGCAGGGGACGTTTTGACGGTGTAAGTTGATACCAGACCTAATTGACCCACTTACTATCAAGCACCCTCATGTTGAAGTGTTCTAACGCTTGGTAGACGGAGTGTTGGATTCCCGACAACGGACTCGACGCGCTCACGAGTTGTTGCCAGGGCAAGGGAAGCGCCATGTGCGCCTTCTAGCTTTTTGATGGAACGAAAGAGTCTTGCGTATCTAGATACCACTCATAAATATACGGGGAACTCATCTAATGTCCCTATAAAAAGATTCCTCGATATATGCAACAAATACCTCACCCAAGATCTATTGATTGAAAGACATGTACCCAGGCCTCTCCAAAACCCCTTCATCCAACTCCTGCCTGCACGCCTCGCAGTACGGCAAAAAGCCCTCGAGGCGGTCGACGCGGCCGACGGGGCAGTACGGACGCGTGGCCATCAGCCCGTCGGCGCCGCGGACGGGCAGGAGCACGCGCTGCGCGCACTTGTGCACGACGGCGTAGGCGCCCATCATGGCGCGGCAGAAGTGGCATTTGTTGGTTACCTTGAGGGTGCGGCACATCTTGTCTGTCTTTGTGGTTGTGTTCTGGTCCCGTGGTTACTTTTCCGGCTCAGTGGTTACGAGGTGGTGGTGGATGAGCTGGTAGAGGAGGGGGAGGGGGTTTGTAATGGTTTGGCTTGGATGGGTGTTTCTGTGGTTAGCATGTTGGTGAGAGGCGTGGGAGACATTCTTAAATAGGCTCGTTGAAGAGGTGGTCGAGATGGTGAATTGGGAGAGCACAAGCTTTGTGTTTAACTAACAATGCTGTTGTTTGGGGACTTGGAGGTTGTCGTGGAACAAACCGATAAAAGAGCGTCTTTGATCACGACGTAAAAGACTCTGTCTTGTTCGTCGTGAACAATGACTTGTTCTCTTCCTCTTTTGCAAAGTCCAGGTGCTTCTCCTGCAGGACGAAGCCGTCTTGGAGGGTATGTTGACGCTGACGGTGACTTCTGATCTCCCTTTTCATCGCAAGTCGACCACATGGTCGAGGGAAACACAAACACCACACCAGCACGACATACTATAGAGTCTTCGTGTTTCTATGCCTTTTCTGATGCTGACCTTTGGCCTCCTCACCCTCCTATGCATCCCAAACAGCCCATCCTAAAACTCCAAACACCCCGTCTCCCGCGACCCTAAAGCCGTCCCGTCCCAGGCGGCATCCGAATCCCCAAACTAGCCATCCCCTTCGCGCCCGTCCCGACCTTCTTCACTTCGTCAACCCGGGCCCTCTGCAGACTGAACCCCGGCGTGACCCATCCGCCGCAGCTGCACCTGAATCCCCTCCAGCTATACCTCCCCACCGCCGCGCCGCACTTGCCGTTGGGACAACACAGCCGGCCCTCAAGAGCGCCCTTCTCGAGCTCCTCCCGCATCCAGCTCAACGGCTCCACAAACAAGTGCCCGCAATCTCCCTGCGCCTGGCCCTGCGGCTCATGCTCGAGCACGAACCGCGGCGTGGCCAGCGTCCGCCGGCACTTCTTGCACCGCAGCTCCTTTCCCTCTCCCTCCCCGTCCTCCTTGACCTCCTCGTCCTCGAACCGCAACCTCGACGGCGCCTGTCCCGCCGCGACGCTCTCGTCAATCTCCCGCTGGAACGCCCACCGCTGGTAGATCGGGTGTCCCTCCACGTCCGCCGGGCACCCCATCGCCCACCACATCTCCAGCTGCGCGATGAACCCGGGGTTCGGCTCGGCGATCTCCCGCGTGTTGCGCACCCACTTCACCGCCGCCTCGACGGCCTCCTTGGCGCGCTGCTTAACCCCCGCGGCGATCTTCTCGTCCATCTTGGAGAGGGACGACTTCTGCGCCGCTTCGGTCGACGCCTTGGACCGCCCGAAGCGGCCCGGGTGTTTCCACAGGAGGTACGCCACGACGACCGAGACGGACCGCGACTTTCCCATCGCGCAGTGGACGTACACGGCCGGCGGCTTTCTCTCGTCCGTCTCCAGTTTCAGCTCGTTTAACTCCTTTGCAGGGGGCGGTGCATCGTTGTTAGCGGGCGTAATGGCGTCCGCGTCTTCGGCCAAGTCCTGCTTCACAGCCGCCCTCAATCTCTTCTTCTTCTCCTCGAAGCTATCCCCATCTTCGGCTTCCTTTTTGCCCCCAGCGGCCCCCGATTTGGAATGCAGCCCGTCTTCAATGAAGCGCACCGCCGCAGGCAGATGCACCAGCAGATCCGAGTCCTCGACGTCGTCCACGTCGATGACCATGTGCTTGTAGCTCTTGCCGTAGTTCTCCCACGTGTCCGTCTCGCTCTTCAGCCCCGCGGGGTCGAAGCGCACGACGGAGAGGATGTGCGTGATGTTGCGCTCCTTGAGTGCCGACGGGCGGCGGAGGGCCCAGATGCTAAATTGCGCGTTAGGATGGCGGGGTTGTGGAGGGGCAGGCAGGTAAAACTCACCCGCCGACGTAGAGCTCGTCATTCCCATCCACGCGGTTCAGCGCCATCTCAACGCAGCTTTTCCTGATGAGCTGGTGTAGCGCCGCAGCCTGTTCCCGTCCGTCGAGATCCTCAAACGAAATCCCCTCGTCGCTGGTGCCTCGTGTCTCCCGCGGCGTCTCGCTCTCCTCCGCGTTTGCGCCAGGGCCCATGAACACACACGCACTTTTCTCGTCCAAGGCGGGGGCTACGTCCGTCTCTGTCTCTCCTGCTGGCCGGAAGGTACCCTCCGAAGCGTGATGAGCCGCTGGAAACAAGCAAGGAATTGGACGGTGCAAATCGTAAAAGCAATTCCGTGTTGATCGGTGTAAAGGGTGCTGCGATATGAGAATGACGCAGTTGACGCAGCGCTTGGGAGAAAGTTGAGTAAGGTTTGCGCCGAACAGAGCCAACGTCTCCACTTTTCGTGTATCCGTAGGTACCTTGGGCACTGCAGTCAGCGATGGCTTCGTCTTCCTTCCTGCTCTTCTCCTTCAACACCAATTCGCTTGCGGCAGGCACCCGCGGTAAAGGTTCGGATGACCTCGTGGCAGCAGGCACCCGCCCCTCACTTCGCGACTTCTCACCCACCCAACACAACATACGGCGTTCCTACCACCACAAAAACAGCAGCCCGAGTTGCCCCTAACCAAGTAAACCCGACCCCCACTAAAAACGTGAGCCTTCCAAAAGAAGAAGCTCCCGCTTCCTCGCTGCACCGCCCCTTTCCCCCTTCGCCACACCGGTGATTGCCACACCGCGAGTGGCTTGTAGGGCTGAAGTCATGTGACGTTCGGCGGCCTCTCGTCCATCACGATGGCCATAATGGTGTTGACATCCATGTGGATGCCCAGGCCAGGGAACATGTCCGACGCTGACAAGATGGCCGCCGTGCCGAGGGATGCACCACTGCATCACCGTGAAGGATGCATTTAGCGAGATACCCATCCGCAGGATTGCCCTCGGCCCTTGTCCTCGGGCAGATCATCATAGACACGGAACCAGACTTCAGTCACCAGAGGCACCCAGAATATGTTTTGAATCTTCTTGTTGTCTTGATACTATTCTTATTCGCTACTGACCAACTTGTTTTTTCCCCCAAAGCCCGTACAAAATACAACGCGGACTCGCCGCTCTTTCTAGTGCTTTCATGTCATCATGTCGCTCCCCTGTTCTGGCCCAACAATGCCTGGTATTTCCTCCAACAAATATGAAAACATGTGCAACTAGACAACTTCCATCAGTATATACCCGGTGCCTGAAAGCCCCCTGCTGCAATCACCAGTACTCCAAAAGCTCCGAAGTGGCAGGCCTCCACCTGTGGACACCGAGCCACATGCTTGAATTGACTACTTTTGATTTTTTGATTTGCTCCAGCTGTCAGCGAGCCGTCTCGTCCACAGCCAAGAGCGGGTATTTTCCAATCCTTCAACTCTGGATAAGCGAAACGAAACGAGATGTGTGATGTGGCCATCATCAGTGCAATCCAAATCCCTGGTTGCCGCCGCCAAATTATCGCTTTGCGCTGGGAAACGATTCCTCGTCGGGTATCCAAGTCGCAAATGCCGCCCCTCTCACTCGTCCTTTGCCGCAAATAATGCCCTCCACTGCACCCCTGCGGAATGACTCGTGCTCGCGGGGCTTGCTTTAAGCTCGACAACCTCCTTACTCGACACCCATCGCCTCATTCCAGCATGTCGGGTCTTTCAG